ACCGAAGGTTCCAGTGGGACCGCCCGCATGCCTCCCGCACGCCCAGTACAACGCTTCGCGGTCCCATAGGGAGCCCCACCGAAGGTCCCAGTGGGACCGTCTGCATGCGCTGCCCCCGCCCAGTACAGCGTTTCGTGGCCCCATAGGGAGCTCCACCGACGGCCCCAGTGGGACCGCCCGCATGCGCCCCGCCCGCCCAGTACAGCGCTTCGTGGCCCCATAGGGAGCCCCGCCGAAGGTCCCAGTGGGACCGCCCGCATGCGTTCCGCGCACCCAGTGCAACGTTTCGTGGCCCCGTGAGGGGCCCCGCCGATTCGTGGCCCCATAGATAGCTCCACCGCAGGCCCCAGTGGCAAAGTCCACATGCGCTTCCCCAACCCAGCACAACGTTTCGCGGTCCATAGGGAGCTCCACCGAAGACCCCAGTGGCAAAGTCCACATGCGTTCCCCCCACCCAGCACAAAGTTTCGTGGCCCATAGGGAGCTCCACCGAAGGCCCGAGTGGCAAAGTCCGCATGCGTCTCCCCCGCCCAGCACAACTTTTCGTAGCCCATGGGGAGCTCCACCGAAGGCCCCAGTTGGACCGCCCGCATGCGTCTCCCCCACCCAGCACAACGTTTCGTGGCCCATAGGGAACTCCACCGAAGGCCCCAGTGGCAAAGTCCGCATGCGTCTCCCCCGCCCAGCACAACGGTTCGTGGCCCATAAGGAACTCCACCGGCGGCCCCAGTGGCAAACTTCGCATGCGTCTCCCCCGCCCAGTGCAGCGCTTCGTGGCCCCGTGGGGAGATCCACCGAATACGATGCCCATAATTGCGGCACTCACAACTACATATGGTTGGGCTCTTCGCCGGGCTATTTTTTCCGCGCGCGCGTGCGTCGAAATCGCTCGAGTGCCCTTGCGCGCGTGCCGTCGCAAGAACCCTTTGTAAGAGCATGGAACAGAATGCACGCGCGCGCGTCTTCGCGCGCGCATGCCGGGATCAATCGAGAACCTCGGGTGTCGCGAGGGCTCCAAAGCCGAATGTAGCGAAACCATGCAAAATTAGCTTGGCGAAGGAACCAACCATATCCAGTTGTGAATACCGCAACTATGAATATCATCTTCGCCCGCGCTCCCTATGACGCCACGAGCCATGCGAGGGGCGCGCCGACATGCGTGGCGCGGTGCGCAACGCGAGCGAAGACGATAGGTCTGCGTGCGAAAGACTGAGAGCGAGTGAGTCTGATTGTGGATGAGTCTGCGCGCGCGTGAGACTACGCACATAAATGTCGACGCCCATGTCGGCGCGCCACTCACGAGAATCGCGCCCGCTTCCTTCCCGTTCTTCTTCTCCCTCTTTGCCCGTGCGCGCCCGCGTCCAAGGCGACGGGCGCGGCGCCGCGCGGAGTCCCCGCGACGCGCGCTGGTCGCCCCGAAAAGGCCCCGGCGACGCGCGCGGGTCGTCCGCTGCGCGGAGCAGAGAGTGCGAGCAGGCTGGCCCCCGCCCAGGATGCGCAGCCCGAAAGCGGCTTCGACGCGCCGAATACGATGAAAAACCTCCGAAAATCGAAAATCGGAGACATTAGGTGGGGCTCCCTGTGAGGGCACGGTGCGCTGTACTGGATGGTGGGTGACGCGCGCGGGCGGTCCCACTGGGGCCTTCGGTGGAGCCCCCTATGGAGGCCACGAAACGCTATGCTGGTTGGTGGATGACGCACGCGGGCGGCCCCACTGGGGCCTTCGGTGGAGCCCTCTATGGGGCCACGAAGCGCTGTACTGGGTGGTGGGTGACGCATGCGGGCGGCCCCGCCGGAGCCTTCGGTGAAGCTCGGGGCTTTCGGTGGAGCTCCCTTTGGGGCCGCCAAGCGTTGTGCTGGGTGGTGGATGACGCATGCGGGCGGTCCCGCTGGGGCTTTCGGTGGAGCTCCCTATGGGATCACGAAACGCTGTATTTGGTGGTGGATGACGCATGCGGGCGGTCCCACTGGGGCCAGAGCTCCCTATGGGGTCACGAAGCGCTGTGCTGGGTGGTGGATGACGCACGCGGGCGGCCCCACTGGGGCCTTCAATGGAGCCCTCTATGGGGCCGCGAAGCGCTGTGCTGGGTGGTGGATGACGCATGCGGGCGGCCCCGCTGAAGCCTTCGGTGGAGCTTCCCATGGGGCCGCGAAATGCCGTGCAGGGCGGTGGATGACGCGCGCGGGCGGTCCCACTGGAGCCTTCGGTGGAGCTTCCCCTGGGGCCACGAAGCGCTGCACTAGGCGGGTGAAGCGCACGGGGGAAGGAGGGGGGGGAAGGGGGGGGGGGGGGGGAAGAAAGAAGGGGAGGAAGGAGGGAACGCGGGGACCGTCTCTTCAAAACGAGGGCCCAACAGCGCAGGCTGGTCGGGGAAAAACAAAGTTTCACAACATCAGTTGTCAAAGAGAAGCTCGCGCGCGGTTTTGTTTGTGGGGGGGGCGAGATTTCCAGAAAACCATCGGCGTCTCAACGTGTTCATGGAACTCTGCGAAGCGGGTCTCTCGCGCCCATGCCGAAATCATTCGAACGCCCATGCGCGCGAACTGGGGGAGGGGGCACGATCCGCGTCAAAGAATACCGCGCGGCCACTCTCGCGCGTCGGCCGCGCGCGTGTCGAGCTCCTTCCAAAACCTTCATAGCCGACGCGAAGACGCCGTCATCGTCTTCGGCGCGATCTGCATCGGCGCCGCCGCGGCCGCGCCGGCCGCGCTCGTCTAGCTGGCCGCTGCGCGCGCGCTGGCTGGCGCGGCCGCAGAGATGCGCGAGCCAGCGCCAAGCACTCATCGCAATCGCCGCCGCATGGGGTTTGCAAACCAAGTTGCGGGTGGGCGGGTAGGATCTTTGCGCGAGCAGGGGATTGGGCAATTCACTGCGAATAGAAATTGGTTCTCCCAAGCAGAACATCGACTCTACCTCCCCCCCCCTCCCTTCGGGATCATCACCTCCCCTTTTTCGCAGTGCGCCGTGCGTGAGATACTGCGCCATCGCCCATCCAAAAGATGAATTCACATCATCATCCTGGGGGGGGCTGGCACCCGCCCCCCCCCCCCTCCCCCCCGCCATCTTCTCGTGCGCGCGCATTCGTTTATTCACAATCACCAGTTTTCCAAAGACCCCATGCAACAGAAATTAAACGAAGTGAGCACGCGCGCGTCGTCGCGCGCGCATGCCAGAATCCCTCTGGAACCTTCGGTTTCGGAATGAGGTCACAATCGAGTGTCCGGAAACATAGAAAACAAGGCTGCGCAACGCGGATGTTCAAAAGAAGCTTGCGCGCGCGCTCTTGCGTATTCTCAAGAAAACTGTGGTTCCGTATTTTCAGAAAGTGCTACCCAAATGGCTTCGCATGTCAAAATCGCACGAGCGCCCTTGCACGCGTGATACCGCGAGAAATGTGTTTGGACCATACGAGACGACATGCACGCGCGCGCGTCGTCGCGCGCGCACGCCGAAACCATTCAAAAACCATCGGCTTCGTAAGGGGTTCAAAGCCGAGTGTCCAAAAAGCATATAGAAACACATGGTTTCGCAACAACACTTTTCACATAACAAAAAGCGTACGATCGCGTCCTTGCGATGTCTTAAGAAAACCATCGGTGTTTCAACCTGTTCATGGAATTCTGCCAAACGGGCCTCTGGCGCAACATACCACCATCATTCGCACGCCCTTGCGCGCGTGTTGGGGGGGGGGGGTCCGTGTCAAATAATTCCATGCGGGCCACTCTCGCGCGTCGGCTGCGCGCGCATGTCGAACCCTTTTCTTCTCTCCAAAACCTTCATCTTCGATGCGAAGACGCCATCATCGTCGCCGGCGTGATCAACATCGGCACCCGCGCTGGCCGCGCCGTCGTCATTGTCAACATCGTCACAAGCATCACTACGATGATCATCGTGTCTGCCGTTGTCGACGTTGCCATGATACCGCGCCCGCCCAAGTCGCCGACTCGCACTGAAGTGCCCGCTGGGATGTACCCAGCGGTCAGCGCCACCGCGCCCGCGTCGGTCGCGCCAAACTAGCTGGCCGCTGCGCGCACGTGCTTAGGTTGGCGTGGCCGCAGAGATGGACCAGCCAACGTCAAGCACTCATCCCAATCGCTACTGCATGGGTTTTGCAAACCGAGTTGCGGGTGGGTGGGTGGGATGATTGCGCGAGCAGTGGAGGTGGTCAAGCGCAGACTAGGGTAGTCCATTTCACCACACAGAGCGCTCCACCAATATAGTGCCACATAGATTACTAGAAACACACCGCTTGGGGCGAATACTGGTAAGCATCTTCGCCTTTGGTTTTGAAGGACTTTGGCATATGCTTCCAGACGCCCTTGCGGCTACCCAAGGGGCCTCCAAGATTGCCCCAACATCGCTTTAGAGGCTTCCAAGATGGCCTCATGACGGCCCAAGGGGCTCTCAAGAGGGGCCCCAAAGGGCCCCAAGACGGCCCAAGAAGCTTCCAAGACGCCCAAGATGGCCTTCAAGACGACCCTGAAGCGCCCCAAGCAGAGGAGCACCCCCCCCCCCAAAAAAAAACAAACAAAGGCCCACGAGAGGCCTCCAAGAGGCACCCAGGAAGCTCCCAGGAGGCCCCAAGAATGACCCCAGAAGCTCCCAAGAGGTCTTCTCATCCTTTTCCTCATCCTACTTTTCCTCCTCCTCCTCCTCCTCCTCGTCCTCCTCCTCCTCCTCTTCCTCCTCTTCCTCCTCCTCCTCCTCCTCCTCCCCTCCTCCTCCTCCCTCCCCCCTCCTCCTCCTCCTCCTCCTCCTCCTTCTCCTTCCTCCCTCCTCCTCCTCCTCCCTCCTCCTCTTCCTCCTCCTCCTCCTCCTCCTCCTCCTCCTCCTCCTCCTCCTTGTCTTCCTCCTCCTCCTCCTCGCCCATACGTTCCCCAACGGGCTTCCACAACGGCTGAGGGAACGCATGGTTCAACAGCGTGGCCAAACGTTGCCCAATTTTTAGCCACATAGGCGTATCCTGAAAGGCAGGGGGCGGCGGTGATTCGCCGCAGGCGTCTTCGATAGCGCCACTCTTGCAGCGACGTGATGCGCGACTTCGCCAGCAGCTCGTCGCGGACCTCGTCGTCCTCCTCCAAGAATATCAGGCTGCTCGCCTGGATGGACTCCGCATTGTCGACGTCGCACATGTCGAACACCTCGGACATGTCGGCTACGGACGCCGAGAAGCCGGAAGTGATGACTGTGGTCACGAAGCCCTCGCGTGTCACCTGCCCGGCCCCCTGCGCGTCGGAGGCCTTTTCGCAGGCCTTGTGCAGCTCGGCCGTGGAGCCGAACTTGTCCTTCACCCAGCGCTTCAGCCGGCGAACGAGGGCGCCGCTGCTGGGGCAGAGCTCATCGAGGGTGAGGCTGCTGACGTCCTGGTCCAGGAGAGCCCAGGATCAAATCTATAAATCGGATCGGCGATGGAAATGAATCGGATCGGCGGAAATCGGCAGCGAAGTCGGGAGAAGTCGAATCGGCGGATATCGGCAGGCCAGTAAGGCCTCCATGGAGAGACCGAAACCCAGATCAGAATCCGAAGCCAAATGGAATCGGAATCGAAACAATATACGATCGAAATCGAGCCGAATCGAGCCGGAGGAGTCGGGGGGAGGCCTGTCCTGGTCTCCCCCCAGCAGCATGTACACGTCGCCGCTCCAGGCTATCTGGGCGGCCGCCTGGCAGAAGGCCGCGAAGCGCACCTCCAGGGTGCCGTCTGCGTCGAGGTGCTGCCGCCAGCCGCGCAGGAAGCTGCCACCTCTCAAGGGGCCCCGGGAGGTACCGCTAAATCTACAGTCAACCAGTATCGTAAGGATGCGCGGTAAGGATGCCAGGGCCTTGGAGGCCCACGTTGACATTGTTCGAACGAGGCTGGCCAGCGAAAGTCGCCAAGGATGGGCCGAGATGGCAAGGATGCAGGGGTACCCTTTGGACGGTTGCCCATCCCTGCTATGCGGGTTGACTGTACGCACGTTCCAGGATTCACATTTGTCCGCAGATGTTCCCATATTGTCGTGAGAAACAACAGTTCGCTTGTGTCTGTGGAGGATTTCTCCCTCCTGAACCTCCCTTCTCTGCCAGGATGTCTATCAACTCCTGCTTGTCCTGCAAGCTGCGCGTCCGTTCCTCGTGGCTCTTCCCGTCGCTCATGACCGCCATGCGCATGGCGCTCTTCCTGATGAAGCGCTGGTGGCGCTGCCGGTCATTCTCTGGGGATGCGACCGAAGACCTTCGGGTGTTGCTAGAAGTGCCCCTTGCCCAAGGTGCCCCCAGGATCTCCATGGAGGCCCCCACGACCACCAGAGCACCCTTCACGAGGCCCAGAGGGCCCCAGGGGCTCCAAAATGGAGCGAACAGCTGGGGGCACCTTGTGCCAGGGGCGCTTCTAGCAACATCCGAGACCTGGCCGAGGACTTCGAGAGCGAGGCCCTCCTGGAATCTGAACGGGCACTCAAGCTGGGCGCCGGCAGAATGCACCTGAGAAGCGCCCTCGGGCTTGGCTGCAACTCGCAGGACGTGTCCACGGAGTCAGCCTCGGAGCGCCCCAAGGTAGAGAGCCCGTCCAACGGCAGGTTCGGCCTATCCTGCGGCCCGGTGTTCTGCAGATCCTGCAGCGGCTCTGGCGCAAGCCGTCCACGTTGCCCGTCCTCCTGGCCACAGCCGCTGTGAAAACCCGAGCGCCAGCCCGCCAGCGGCATCGCCACGCTGGTCCGCGCGCGAAGATGGCCACAACATCGGCGCTGGGCCGCGGCGGTCGCTTGAGCCAAAATTTGCGGCGCGCGCAGAAAGGGGGCAGGGGGAGGCGGAAAGGCTTTTCAGAAGGAGGCTGCTTCTCAGAAGGCGCCGGGCCCTACATCTAGAGACGGGGCCCGCGCCTTCTAAGGAGCAGGGGTACTTCCAAGAAGCCTTTCCCCATCCTCTGCCCCCCTTGTGCGCGTGGCTGACAAAAGGATGCACCAACGACGTTGCAGCCAGCGCTAAGTCACGCCTTCGCCGATCACGCGAAGCAGTCCTTTCCTCTGCGGGGGGATCGCCCCCTTGACAGAGTGGCGCCCCAGGGGCCCACCAATCAGGCGAGATCCCCACTTTGGAAAGGAGCCGCACTCACTCCTGCCAGCTATCAGATATTGCCCCCGAAGGTATGACCACGCAACTCAGGGAAGGCTCTAACGAGAGACCCCCTTTGAAGAAGAGACGCCCTCCGTCCATCTAGCTGAAACCGCAGCACACTTTCCAACTCTGGGGCTTAATCGAGAGCCCCATTGCAACGAGAAGCTACCCTCCACTCGTGCAACTGTTGCGGATGAAGACCCCGGTCCCGAAGCTTGAGGGAGTCTCAAGCGAAAAACCCATGTTGAAGAAGAACCGCTCTCCTTCCGTGCAACTGCTGATAGCAGTGAAAACGAATGTGCGCCGAGCCAAGTCGAGACCCACATCGTGAAAGTCAGCCGCACTTCATCACTGTGTAGATACATAATGCGCACGGCGCTGAAACGGTAAACACATTTTGAAAACCACACGCCCTCCATCCGCGTGGTCGTTGGACTTCAAATTTCGGGGGACATCAGCGGTGATGAAGCCTCAGGCAACACGCTTAGCCGGGATTACGAATCCCTCTCGTGATGCGACAGGGATGAGGACGCTAGCCATTTTGGCTCAAGAACCCTGCTTCTTAACATCTCAACCTCGCTCAGATGGGTCAGCCGTGTTTTGGGCCTGACCCCGTGCGTGTTCCCAGGTCGGGGGCCGCTCACTCCCCTAGGTGCGCCGTCGCGGCCAGTGGGCTGGTCCGATCAGTTTTCTCAGTGTACTTCGGCTTGTCAGCAGCATGGTTGTTGTTAGAATCGCTGCTACTGGAAATGGTGACATGGTGTACGGATTGCTATGCCCCAGCTAATGTTGTTCCACCCATCTGTCTACCCCAAGGATCGCAACTCCTAGGACTCTGGAGGCCAGCAATCTGGTCCCAAGGCAAAGACCAGAGGAGGAGGAGGAGGAGGAGGAGGAGGACGAGGAAGAGGAGAAGGAGGAGGAGGAGGTGATGAGGAAGGTGGCCACGCTGGCGGAAAGAAGCAGAAGATGACGAAGAAGGGCAACGGCAAGGGTAATGATGAGGGTGTTGCTCACAAGAAAATGGTTCAGCTTGCTACGGAGCTGGGACAGCACCTGGAGGGCCAGAGTAGCCAAGTCGCCACCGATCTTGCCACACATCCCACGCAAAGACTGAAGCAACGCAAAGTTCAGAAGATCCAAGCCCTTCCGCAAGGGATCCGCGTCTAGCGATCCGCACAAGCGGTGGGTCAGGCACAGAGGAAGGTGGAAAGTGGGCCAGTCTTGTTACGCCTGACAGATACGAAGGGGTCCAAGGACACACAAAGAAATACACACACACATCCGAGGCTTCCTCATGTTTTCCCATATCTTATGTCCATCCTCCCGCTTCACATATTTTCCTGAGGATCGACGATCAAGTTTGTCTGTGTGTTGCTTCCCCTCCTGAGGACATTCAGGCGCGCCTTGGAAGGAAGGCGGGACGACATAGAGTAGGTTTCTGCTGGCTCGGTGCGCCATCCTCCTGCGGTGGGGTCTGGCCATTGGCCTGCCCCTTCTTGAGGCATCGAAGGCATCGAATGCGAGGCGGGGATCTATCCATATCCACCGCCTGAGAACCGACGTCGCGGTGGCCTAGCGGGCGGTGGGCGGTGGATATGGAAACATGGTTTGGCGGCCCGGACATATCCATATCCACCGCCTGCCGAGGTCCCCGCAAATTGATCCTCCAGGCGGTGGTCATGTACAAATTCCCGCCTCGGATCGAATGAGGTGGATCAAGAGAGGGAGGATTCCCACTGGGATTTCTGCTGCTGCCTGGTTGGCATGGGATGGTGTGGCGAAATGTGGTTTTTGTTTGCTGGGGGGAGAGGGGGGGCGGGGGGGCAAAAATGCTTCTCTGACCGCACACGTCAAGACATCCTGTCCCGGTTGTTGCTTGTTTTTACGAGCCGCGGGTGCTGTAAAACGCATTACAAGTATGAGTGCGATGCACAAAGATGTCTGCAAAACAACAAACCTCCTGTCTGGGTTTTGCTTATTTTCAGACGCTCCACTTCCCTGTACCCTTTTACAACAGGGAGCGAGCATGAACTGGCAATCAAACGAGAGAGCACATCTGATATATGGCCCTCGGGTTACATGGAGGCTTCAAAAAGGAGTCTCACCCGCCGTTCCATCCTCCAAGCCTCCGCAATAGCTCTGTGACGGCGGGCGGTGGCTCTCATTCGGGCGTGAATCTGCTGAGACACACTGCCAGAGGAGAGTTGATGGCGGCGGCAATTGTGAGAATACATGAACGCATCAAAAACAGCAGCAGTGATCAGCAGCACCGTGCGAGGCCTCTCAACAGTCGGGAGCAGGGATGGGGTGGCGACATCGAACGCCAGGACGAGGAGGAGGAGGAGGAGGAGGAGGAGGAGGAGGCGGAGGAGGAGGAGGAGGAGGAGGGGGAGGGGGACGCGAGAGGAAGCGGAGAAAGAAAATGAGGCAAGATGAGGAGGGCCACGCACCGTGAGCCCTGTCCTCTCCCCCTATCCCCCCCTCAACGTTTCCACTCCGACTCCCCTCCCCGCCCCCTTCCTCCTTGTCTCCCTTGCCCTACCGCCCTCGTTACCCCCGCTCCGCCATACACATCCTGCCTCTCATGCACCTCCGCTCGTACCACCTCCCCTCTCCCCCGTTTCCTGCCCTCCACCACTGACCTTCCCCTGTCCCTCCCGCCCATGCTCCTCGCTCGCCCCCACCCCCTCCCTCCAGAATTACACCTTATGGGTACTACCCGCCTCGCTCCTCTGATTCCGTCCAAAAGAGATTCGGCCGTCTCCGGGTATAGTTTTTACATAAGAATTGATAGGTTCGCCTTTCTTATAATTGATTACACTCTGATTGTTGCTGTCCTCCAAAAGCTGCTCCCACTGCAGCGTTGGCCTAGTTTTCAGATCGACTCGCTGCTCCGTCGCTCTGAATGGCGCTTTTACCACATCGCGGGCCACTTTTCTGACTCCGAGTCCGTCCTCCTTGTTGTCGCCCCCCCCACTTCCCCTCCTCCGCCTTCCCCTGGTCTTTTTGCCCCTCCCGCTCCTTCCACTCTGGTTCCCGCTGCTGCTGTTCGTCTTCGTCCTCCTGCTCCTTCCTCATCCTCCTTTTCCTCTTGCCCATTCTCCTGCACATCCGCCACCTCCTCCTCCTCCTCCTCCTCCTCCTCCTCCTTCCCCCCCCCTGTGTACGCAACTCCCCTCTCTCGATTACGCAAACAACGACGATGGGATCTTTCGGGGAGCTCCAGGTCTGCTGTGACACGCGTCCGCGGATACAGAAAAAACAGCTCCATGGGAAGGGATGGGTGAGAGGGGTAGGATGTCAGACATGGCGCAAGCGCACTCGGCTTGACATGAACCGTGCTGCTCCTGCACCCCGCCCCCCCTTGCCTCTGGGCCTTGTCCCGGGCTGGGCCGATGGCCTCTGGATGCAGGGTGCTCTCGGCGGCACCCAGGCGAGCGACGGAGGCCTCCGCCTCCGCCCCGCCCCGCCCGACACGCGCCCACCGAGCGACGAGACGAGGACCCGGGCCGGGCCCCCGCCGCGCCCGACGGACGCAGAAGCGAGAGCGCTGCCCGTGCGAAAGCTGCTGCTTGCGAGCGCTGGGGGGGGGGACTCTCCGGAGGCGCTGGGGCGGGGCGGTGCAGTCTTGCAGGGGGCGGTGCTGCAGTGTGCTACTCCTGCATCCCGCCCCCCTTGCTTCTACGTAGGCCCTTTTCCGGGCCGGGCCAATCGCCGCTGGACACAAGGTGCTGTCGGCGGCACTCGTCGAGCGAAGGAAGGCCAGTCACAGAACCAGGCGTCCACTGAGGATTTTCGTCGACGCAGGGGTGCAAGGGCCAGTGACCTTCAATGGCATGCGGCACGCGCGCATCACCCAGGGGATCAGGAGGGGCGACGAGGTGACACCGGAAGTCGCGACGAAATCCCACGCCGACCAAGGAGCCGCCGGCTGTGGCAGGACTGGTTGAGCTCAGGGGAAGTGCCCATGCCGCCGACGGTGCCAGGCGTGAATGCCGCCGCTGGCCTCTGGCCTGGCACGCGGGGGGGGGGGGAGGTGTGTGGAAGGGAAGCTGCCGCCCGGAGACTCGGGCGCGCAGAGCCGCCGCCGGCTGCGGCCGAGCGTGCGGCGCCGCTGCTGGGTGCAGCGAAGAACTGCCGAGGGGCCTCCACCAGACCTCACACATGGCGAGGTCCCTCCCAGCCAGTGTTAGGTCGGGCGTGTCCCCCTACAAGGGGACTCTGGGGGGAAAAACATGCCCCAACAATACTCCCAAATGCTTCAAAGATACTCCAGAAAATCGTCCCTCGACTATTTTTGACTACTTTTGGACCTTCCTCCTGTATAGCGACAGGCCTGACTCGAAGCCAGTGACGCTGTGGGATCGCCCTCGGTGGCCCACCGTGCCGCGCGCGCCCGCGGGGCGCCTCCGTGGAGGGCAGCGGCGGCGAGCAGGGCACCGCGCGAGGGCGCGGGCCGGGCGGTGCCGCGCGGCGCCTGGGCGCCCGCGGGCAGCTGGGCGCCTCGTGCCCCAACGGCCAGGGCCCGCCCCGAGGGGCGTGGAAGGTCCCCCGCGCCATCGTCCCCTCCCCCTCCCCTCCCTCCCCCCCCCCTCCCCCTCCCCCTCCCCCTCCCCCTTCCCCTCCCCCTTCCCCTCCCCCTTCCCCTCCCCCTTCCCCTCCCGGGGAGGAGGACCGCCTTAGGCCTCAGGCTTAGGTCGGGCATGTCCCCCTACAGGCGGATCGTGCAGGAGGAACTGACTGAGACAACAAGTGTTCCAAAAAGATACTCAACGATACGAAAAGATCGTCCCCAGACGATCTTTTTTACTATTTTCGACTGTCCCCCCTGTAGAGGGACAGGCCCGACTCAACCTTAGGCCTTGGGCCCCAATGCCAAGGTCCGCGCCGAGGGGTGCGGAGGTCCCCCGCGCCATCGGCCGAGGCCAGGGGGAAGGGGGAGAGGGGGCGACGGGGAGCACCGGTGCGAGCGGAAAATCCGACTCGGGTGAGCTGGCCCGAAGGCGCTCCACGGAAATGGAAAGGGCCCAGCCTGCAGGTTTGGGCAGCCCGCTCCCCCGAGGGCCAGCAGCCAGGACCTCTGCTCGCGCCCCCCGCCCCCCCCACGAAGCCGTGGGCGCTGGCGGCCCCCGCGCGAGCCGGCACCGGCGCAGCCATACGGCGCGCGCTGGTGGCTGGGCGTGTCGCGACCGTCCTGGCCATCACGACGCCGGCTGCACGCGAAGGGGGCGGGCGGCGGAGGCCCGCTGGCTGCCAGCGTGGGCAGCCAGCGGGAGCGAGCACAGGGATGGGACGCTGCGTGGTGCAGCCGGCATGCCGCTGGCAAGAAAGCTTCGACCTCATCGCCGTCAGGTGCCGCCGCTGTCGCTGCCCATCCGAGCCCATTCGGCTCGACTTTTCTCAATGCTGAGCTGCTGGCCACTAGATCCAGAGGGAGGACCAGGGCAACTGCCCAGACATCTGGAACTGAGGGGGCAGGAGTCACGCCTCCAAATCGACGCCGGTGAGTCCTGCAACGTGCCCCGGTCTGATCTGGTCTGCAAATCTCAATGGGCCGCCGGGGATCGCATGCAGGGAGGGCCCTGGTTCCGGATCCGCCGTATTTTGGTAAACTGTCCGACTCGGAAATGCACCCCCAACGATGCCAACAAAAATAAAGCGGAAATTCCAGCCTCAGAAAATAGGGCGGATATTTCGGCAAAGGTATGGCGGAAACGGCGACGGTTGGAGTAGGGTGTACATCGGTATCAAAGGGGCTTGAAAAATAAGGCGGGAATTTCGGCCCTACTTGCGAAATCTTCCAGAGTAGATCGGGTCTGGAGTCGGGGGGGCGCCTCTGGTAAGGTTTCGGGCTGCGCGCAGACAGCCCAGGCAGTCTCGGCTGGCCTTGACAGGCCCCCCGAGAAGTCCTTGGCGGTGCTGAGTCCGCCCCACACTGCTCGGGGTAGCCTGTTGAAGCCAGTCGGGCCTCCCTGGGGGCGCTGTCGGCGCGCAGCCTGGAGCCTTCCCCTTCCTCCGAGGAACTGCGGGGCCATTCTGCCGGGGCCGTGGCCCTGGCGCGGGCCACGTCGCCGAGGGTTCCTCGTCGTCTTGCTGCGGCATGTGCACGTCCACCACGTGGCCGAAGGGCTCGAACAGGCCCTCCAGGTCGGACGGGAAGACGCTCTCCGGCAGGCCGCGAACCTGCCGCCCCTCCTCCTCCGCCTCCTCCATCATCCATCCTCCTCCCTCCTCCTCCTCTTCCTCCTCTCTCCTCCTCCATTCCTGCTCCTCACAGAAAACTCCTCGCTGTCGCACCCCGAGGCCAATTTTTAGGGCGGGGACGGCGTTTCGCCTCAAACTTCCTCAGCATTTATGACCCTGAAGCTTAAGAGATGACAGAAACTTCACAGATGGAGGGCGGTGGTTTTCAACATGTGGCTGTCGCCTTAGCGCCACGCACATTCATTTTCAAAAACTGCAAGAGCTTCACGGACTGAGGGCGGTTCCTTTTCAAAATGTGGCTCTCGCCTTAGCGCCGCGCACACTCTTTTCACAGCTTTGCAATAGTTTCACGGATTGAGGGCGGGTGGTTGTCAAAGTGGTTTTCAAAATGTGGCTCTCGCCTTAGCGCCGCGCACATTCGTTGTACAACTTTGCAAGAGCTTCACGGATTGAGGGCGGGTCGTTTTCAAAATGTGGCTGTCGCCTTAGCGCCGCGCACATTCGTTGTTTATCATCTGCAAGAGATTCACGGATTGAGGGCGGGTCGTTTTCAAAATGTGGCTCTCGCCTTCGCGCCGCGCACATTCGTTTTACACATTTGCAAGAGCTTCAAAGATTAAGGGCGGCTCCTTTTCAAAATGTGGCTCTCGCCTTAGCGCCGCGCGCATTCTTTTTCAAGACTTGCAAGAGCTTAATGGATTGAGGGCGGGTCCTTTTCAAAATGTGGCTATCGCCCTAGCGCCGCGCACATTCGTTTTACAAAATTTGCAAGTGTGTCACGGGTTCCCTCGCCCAACGTACCGAATATTGTGTTTTGGGGGATTCAGGATTATGCGGGTGCAACAGTTATGTTGATTCGCGGTGTTGACATCAAACAATGGCGTTATGACACGATTCTGGATCGCCAAAACGCAGCAATCAGGTTGATACGTGGCGTTGAAATCCAGAGAACGATGTTTTGGCATGCTTCAGGATCTTCAAACGGTCGTCATCCAACGAGGCGGTCCCCTCAGTGGAAATGAACCGTCGTAGGGGCCTATGAAGAGGGAGCTTGGAGGGAGGGGTAGTTCCAACATCGTTGATGATTCTTGGGTTTACACTGGTCCTCATCCTCCTCCTCCTCGTCATCATCCTCCTCCTCTTCCTCCTTCATTCCTTCTCCTTATGGATACCTTCTCCCTGTCGCACCCCGAACCCACTTTTTAGGGCGGGCCGGGCTTTTCACCTTAGATTTCCTCATCACCTATTACTCTGAAATTTACCCAGTGATAACAGTTTTACAGATGGAGGGCGAGTGGTTTTCAAAATGTGACTCTCGCCTTAGCGCCGCGCACATTCGTTCTACAGCTTTGCAATAGCTTCACGGGTTGAGGGCGGGCAGAATGCGGCTCTGACCTTAGCGCCGCGCGCATTCGTTTAAACAATCTGCAACAGCTTCGCGGATTGAGGGCGGTTCCTGTTCAAACTTTGCCTCTCGTCTTAGCGCCGCGCACATTCGCTTTACAAATTTGCAAGAGCTGCACGGATTGAGGGCGGCTCCTTTTCAAAATGTGGCTCTCGCCTTCGCGCCGCGCACATTCGTTTTACAAAATTGGAAGAAATTCGCAGATTGAAGGCGGTTCCTTTCAAAATGTGGCTCTCGCCCTAGCGCCGCGCACATTCGTTTTAAAAGTTCGCAGCGGTTAGAATTCTGCGTT